TGCATGAAAAGCTAGGGTATACGGTTTTCGGCTGCCATGTGGCAATTTCACCAGGATATGAGTTTTATCAATGGTGTCCTGCTTTTGTCCAGCTTTACCAATTTTAAAATCTGGTCACCTTAATCAAACATGGCTCTCAGGATTCTTAGGCTTCTCTGATTATCTTATTTGACTGCTTGTCCATATGTTGAAGTCTACCTGGTTATCCTATGGGTCACTGGTGCAATTCTCTGTTCCTCAAGTCTGTTGACAAAGACTGTGAATGTGCTATTGGCTTTTATTATCTCATCCCTTAGGTCTTATATTTCTCTTTGGTGTGTGACCTTTATCTCCTCTATCATTTCATCCTTTTCCTGTACTGTTTCCCAAATATCCTGTAGTACCCCAAGCAGAATTTTGAAGATTTCTTTCTGTGGCAGATCAATGTCTGCTTCTTCTATGCTCATCATTAGCTCCAGGACTTCTTCTGACATTGCCTTTTTTTCTTGCTATTTTTCTTTGAGGTTGTTGTGACTGATTGCTGCTTGTGTTTTGTTGTTTTGGAGAAGCTTGCCACCATTTTCCAGAGAGTGGAAGAGCACTGGGTTATCTTTGGGAGACTCATAGGAATCCTTCTTCAAACTGTCTGCAGCTAATTACACTGTGGGATCTGGCTACCACTTTATCCTCCTGTACTTCCACTCTTTGCCTAGCCAATCAGTATTCTGTTATTTGGAGTTCAAGTTGGGTGGTCCCCTAGGGGATGGTGGTTGAGTGGTTTTGGACCCAGGTGGATTGCGCAGCACTGGATGACCTCACAGTAAGCCATGGTGGTGTGGCCTCCGGTGACTTGGTGCACTTCAGAGGACATGCGGGGTGCCTGCTGTAAAGGGAATGACGTGGATGGCAGGTGAGTGTGCCTGCTTTAGTTGAGAGGAATTGTCATAGTCGGCGAGATAACTGGGTAGGTTGGGCAGAGGTTCCCACAGCAGTGTGGAGCACTGGAGAGTGTTGGTGGAGTTGCCTTAGGCCGACTGAGGTACTAAGATAGGCAGGAGTAAGTTTCCTCAGCCATGTGGGATTCCAGAGGAGAGGCAGGGGCTCCCCAAACCACATGGCGCTATGTGGAAGGTGGACAAGAGAATCCTCCAGCCAAGCTAAGCACCTCAAAGGGCAAGCAGGTATTTCCCCAGTTTCTTAAAGGATGTTAAGGGTTAGTTGTGAGTTGTTTTGTCATTATTTTATTCATGCAAAAATGTAAACTTTGATCATGATGGAAACTCCGTCTATTCTCAAATAATCAATTGTCACAAAGTATCTTTTTACCTCTTTGATGTTTGGTTTTAACAAGTTGGTGTCTGGAGTTGCTTTTGGAAATTCCTCTGCGATGACCTCCTTAAGTACTCCTCTAGTCAAGCTCTTTGACTCTAGACTCTAATTGCCCGTGTGTGAGATATATTCACCCCATCCCCAGTAATTCTTCAGCCCTCCTTGCATATTCTCCATCATTTCTTCTGTCCGCGCTTCATTTTGTCTATTTCCCTCAACTCTAGCTTTCATTCCTCAAGGTCTCCTTTCAAGGCATGCAAATTGCCCATCAACCTTGAACTGTAACACTAATAATTCAGGGAATGTCTTCATACTCCTCCAGAAGAAAAGAGGGAGGCCAAGGTAAGACATTTTTAAGCAATTATCTGAGGCCACCCACACAGGGATCAGATGAGTAGGAAGGGCCATCGCATCGTGGACACTCTCCTCACTCCTTTTCCTCTGTGCTTGCTCCCCTGGGGCTACAAACACTGCCTACCTCTCAGATCCCCTAAAGTGGAACCACAGTGGAATATTTCATTCTTGGTAGCACAGGGGTATATTTCTATTTACATTAAAAGCATCAATGGTGTTTCTTTACCATCTTTGCTGCACCCCTCACCCCTGGACCTTTTTTGCCATTACCATGATTGATATGTGTTTCCAATTTCAGGGAACAATTACAAGTTGATGTTTCACTGTGATCAGCAAGATCCTGAAGTATTATTCAGAAGGAGAATTCCCAAGTCTTCTGAGCAAGCCAGTCCTAGCCTTAATCAGTTACCCCACCAGGAGCAAGGGGAAAACACAGCAATGTGGCATTCCCGGGTCAGCTCTGCAGTAAGATAGTAAGTGACCAGCCAGTATGGGGGCATGCATGTCCCAAATGGGACATGTGACATTAGATTTCATGTTGTCATTCCTCTTCTAGTTTACAACCTTGTAGGATCAAGAATGGCAGGACGGGATTAATAAATGAGCGAACATTGTCATAACCTATTGCCTCTCTATGTCACCACAGCACCCCCTATCCCAACTCCATTTTCAAGCGGAGAGACAGATATCATAAAGGAGAGCAAGGTAATATGGAGAGAGTGCTAAAAGGTCCAGACACAGGAATGCAGGGGAACAGACAGGATGGAAGCGCTGGTCGTTTCGCCGTGACTACAGTGAGTGTCCTGGCAAAGTGGATGTAAGGGGCAGGGAAACAGTAGGTGGAATTGTGCCGATCCCACGGGAGGACGTTGGGTACACTGTGCGGGCATAGGGAGCTGGTAAAGTGTGCTTTTTCTTACTAGTTGTTTTCAACCTTGATTCATCTAGAGGTATGTTGGCAGATGCAATAAAAAGGAAACAGGCAGGAGGCAGGGACAAAGGGGGAAGGTGGTCTGAAAACGTGTAGACTGCTCACAAGACGATGGAGCAATTCCCCATGGCTTGCTTCTATTTAGTTCAAACTGATGGATTGGAGGAGACAGGGCTGGGTCGGAGACTCTGGTGTCCTTGTCAAAGGGGGAGGCGGGGTCTACATAAAGGAGGCTCTCCCAGAAGCTTAGGAAAGGAGAATCATGCTACGAAAATTGAAGGTGATCATTTGGAAGAAAAGGTTGGAATGTGCAGAAACAGTATTTATCAAGCCCTCGAATCATACACAGGTTAGAAATAACGGACGTTACACTCAGAGTGGAAACACTTTGAAAGCTCTGTGAAAGAAACCAATGCTTGGGTTCCTTTGTACGCTGTTTCCATCATGATAGCGGCCTCTTACATCCTTGCTGATGTGCCTAGGCTCCATGTGGCATAATGTGTTACATGTTCTGGCTGCCAAATTTGTCCCAGGGTCAATACAATGTCTCCTTCACTCTGGCACCGGAGACAACCACATGGCTATAGCACCACTGAAGCATCCAAGCAGAGAAAGGATTCTGGTCTCATGTAGCTCTCCCTGAATTTCACTCTGGGCAAATGCAGGCTCACAGCTCGCAGGCAGGTCAGTGCCAGCGTTGAGCTTGCATTTAAGAATGTCAGAAACAATTTTTTTTAAATACTCATTTTATTAGGGGCTAATACAACTCATCACAATCCGTACATATGTCATCTGTGTCCAGCACTTTAGTACATATGTTGAGTTCATCATTCTTATGATACCCACTTTCCACTTGAGCCCCTCGTGTCAGCTCATTTTTCCCCTCCCTCCCCACTCCCCGCTCTCGCCGAACTTCCGATAATTTATAATTTATTATTATTTTATCATATCTTACCCCATCCAACGTCTCCCTCACCCACTTCTTCGCGTCCGTCCCCCAGGGAGGAGGCCACATGTAGACCTTGTTCTCTGTTCCCCCTTGGTCCCTCTCTTTCCCTCCACCCTCCCGCCATCGGCACTCTCTCCACTGGTCCTGGGGGGTTCATCTGTCCTGGGTTCACTGTATTTCCAGTTCCTATCTGTGCCGGTGCACCTCCTCCGGTCCAGCCGGATATGTAAGGTAGAATTGGAATCATGGTAGTGGGGGTGGAGGAAGCATTTAAGAATCAGAGGAAAATTGCATATTTCATCGTTACTACACTGCACTCCAATTTGCTCCTCACCTCCCCGCAGCCCTTCTGCAAGGGGATGTCCAATTTCCCCCGGATGGACCCTGGGTTCCCACTCCGCAGTTCCCCCCAATTCACTATGTTATGTTTTTTTTTTTCCTTTGGTCTTTGATGCCTGATACCTGACCCCCTCATCGCCTTGTCATCTTACAAGCTGGTGTGCTTCTTCCATGTGGGCTTTGCTCCTTCTCAGTTAGATGGCCCCTTGTTTATCTTCCAGCATGTGGGACCCCAGATTCTGTGTAATTTGACAGCTTGGCACCATCAGTCTTCTTTACCGCATTTGCTTATGTACCTGCTTTGTCTTCAGCATTCGTGTTGGGGTAGGGTGGTGTGCTTCTTCCTTGTGAGTTTTGTTGTTTCTTAGCTAGATGGCCATCTGCTTGTCTTCAAGCCTGTAAGCCCGTAAGTCCCCAGATGCTGTATCATTTGATAGCCGGGCACCATCTGCTTTCTTCCCCACTTTTGCTAATGCACCCCCTATGTCCTCAGTGACCGAGTAGGGGTAGGCTGGTGTGCTTCTTCCGTGTGGGTTTTGTTGTCTCTCAACTAGATGGTGCTTGTTTATCTTCAGGTCACTAAGACTTCAGATACTATATCTTTTGGTAGCTGAGCACCATCAGCTTTTTCACCACACTTGCTTGTGCACCCATTGTCTTCGGTGAGGCCTTGCAGGGCTGGATCAAGGGAAATGTAACCGAGAGGAGTGCCTAAAACTCATATGAAGGCAGAACATGATAGTGGGACAAGAGGAAAGTACAAAGAAACAGAAGAAAGAAGTAGGAGGCAAAGGGTACACATAGAGATGCAAATACAGGCATAAAAAGATGTAAATATATTTATATATGATGAGGGGGAAATAGATCAATGTACATATATTTATAGGTCGAGTATTAAGAAAACAGATGAACAGTGAGCCCCTGCACAAGTACTCCCCAAACACAAGAACACTTTGTTCTAACAATTTGGCAGTCTGAGATGCTCACCTACCTGATATGATCACTGAAGACAATGGGTACACAAGAAAACGTGGTGAAGAAAGCAGATGATGCTACCAACAGATACAGCACCTGAAACAAAATTTGTGATGAAGATAGCAACAAGTTGTGTGTCAGAGTATGGCCAAGGCTAGTAAGGAGCCATTGGGCAGGCGAGGATGGGAATCTCTTGCTTCATGTTGGGTTTCAAAGGTCCTGATATTTAGCCAAATCTCTTGCCTTTTTTGCAGAGCCCTCTCTTTGACATCCCCTCTGCAGTGCCCCAGTCTATGCAGAAGGAGCTGGTGTCAAATAATTGGAAACTGAGCAAAGGAATACCGAATCTAGAGGTGTATGGCCACGCACAGACACACCACCGCTCCTTCCATTGACAATTACCCTCCCAGAACCTGAGGCACAAGCCACTAATCCATATCTCAGTCTCTGCAGGTGACCAAGATAAAAGGAGTAGAGGGCTGCCAGGGAGCTCATGACCTTCCGCAGGAGGTCCACTCACATTCAGGTATACAAGACAGCAGCCATTCTGGGGCATCTGGGTGCAGAGTGGTCTTTGTGGGAGGGGTAGTTAGAGGGAATTTAGGGAAGGGTTGGTGCTGGGGCCAGTTCAGCTGCGCCCTTTAATCCACCTGACCCCTTGTCTCCTATTCTAGAAGGAGTGATGCACCGTGCTGCTGAAATGGGACTGAATGTTTCTACCATTCAGAAGGACACGGCTTCTTCCCTTCAGTTCCTTGAGGAGAACATGCCCAAAGTGAGGCCTTTTGTTTTACTCGTGCTGTGTGTGGTGCTGGGGATGGGGTATCTGGGGTCGAGGGCAGATTTGTCCCAGATGTCACCTCTTGGAGCCTCTTCTCTCACCACAGCTTTTGTCCTTCACCTCGAGCAACTCTAGACGCTACCAGCTGGTTGGCCTGGCCAACATGGGGCAGAAGGATGTCACCATGCAGAGCAGGAACCGCTTAGCAAATCAGGTGAGAAGCAGTCGCCAGAGCACACTGGGAAAGGGAGGAGGCAGGGCTCATTAGGTTGGTGACAAAAGACAGGTGGTAAGGCCTTTTATGGGAGATGGTGTCATTGGGGGTGTAATAGGAAGGGCCCTCCTGGTTCACAGTCCCTGGTTCATGTTTTCTTCTTTCCTTGCAGATGAAGGCTGAAGGGGAGATGGACACAGTGAAGGGACTGGAGCCAGGGGAGATGAGTGCGGGCAGAAAGCCTCTGTGCACCAGCTCTCCGCATAAGCCCAGCGACGTAAGGTCAGTTATGCCTGGTGAAACCCTGGGGACGTGCAGCTACCTTTGACCGTGCAGGATGAGGCTGCCCAAGTCACGTGGAAGAACCACATATCTTGTTCTTTCCCCTCTCTGCTGTGTGCTTAGAGGTCTCCCTGCCTTCCCTCGGCCTGCTCCCTGCTCTCCGCCATTTGTCCACACGTCACCAATCAAGCTTCTCTGGCATGGCCTCTCCTGAAAATGCTCCCCAAATCAGAGTTCCCTGGTCCTCTCCAGGACAGGGGGTGTGCACACAGTGCCCAGCTTCCCCTTGGATGTTACCTTGAGTCAGACCATGTTGCCCTGGGCAGTGACGTCACCTCATGGCCAGGGAGTCCTACTTAGAGAGGTCTTACTCACCCTCTACCCTGATGGGGCCTTCTTTCCCCATGTTGAATGAAACTGCTGCTCTTTCCCTTGCTTCCAGGGGCTCCCCTGCCCTCTCTCCAGTTGTCCTGGGGATTTTCTGCCCCATGCTGAGGACTGGGCCCATGGTTGGCTGTATGATGACATGTGTTCCCCTAGCTCAAAGATAGGAATTGGGCCTTGCTGGGGGGAGAAAGCTGGACTCGCTGTGTGAGAAGTGGGTCACCTGCAGTGAGCAGAGGGCATGCTGAAGCAGGTGGGGAGTGTGTGAGGCTGGAGGCATAACCAGGTGTGGAGACAGGAGGCATTGAGCCCTCCCAACAGCATGGGGAGCCATCCTGCATGGAACTTCAGAAGAGCCCTGGGTCGTCGAAGGCAGCCCGATTCCTCAGACATGGGACCAACTAAGGGAGGCCCAGTTGGACAGAGGCCACCAGAAAAGATAGCAGTGGTGCTCTCAAGAGAGGCCACAGACCCTCCAACCCCTGCTCTGCAGTCACCTGAGCCTTTCCTCCTGGGGAACCTCTGCTGCCCCATGGCTGCTGCTCTTCCCATGCCCACCTCAGAGGGGGACACACAGGGGACCAAGGACCTGCTTTCTATTCCATGGGCAGATGAAGGATGAACAGAGTGGCAGCAGAGGGGATCATTTCCCCATCCTTGCTTCTTTCTCCCCAGTGCCCACCCTTCACAACTAACTTCACCTCACTTGTCTTCCTTTAACGAGTTCTTCGTCTCCAATGGACTGTGTCTCCCCTTCTCACCACGCCATTCCTTCAGTGTCTTTCTGTCCTGATTCTCTCCCTGCCTCCTTATGCTGCCTCGCTCATCAGCCTGAGCAACATTCTGCGGCAACCCTAGGGGATGTCCTGGGCTTGTCCACAGTCAGGCCTGGCAGAGCATTGGACATCTGGTGTAGTAGAATAACCCTGGACCTTCTCTCATGCCCTCATTCTTTGTAGACTTCTTTGAGAACCTGCAGGGAGGGATATGAGGTAGGGAGGAATGTCTGCAGCCTAGCCTCTCATGATGCTTCTGTGTCACTAGAGGAGGGGCCAGGACTGTCCCCATGGGAGCAGCACACGAGGAAGGAGAGGAGGAGAGGGGCATGGAGAGGGGCAGCCCCCAGTTCCCTGTCTGGGTGAGTCCATGGGGGAGGCCCCAGTGTCCATGACGGGTGACATTGAAAGGTCGGTGAGACACACATATCTCTGTTCCTGTGCAGGTGGGCTTGTTTCAAACAAGGCGGCAAGCTCTGATGTTCTTTTTTGCCTTGACATTCCACAGTGACCTCCTGGACCTGTTCCCCAAGTTATTAAGCCTGGGGAGAATATTAAGTTTTCCTTGACTACTCTGTCTGCTACATAATGCTACCCACATCCTGCCCGGAATCCCATAGACCCTGTCCAGAATAGCTGTTTGGCTCTTGCCCCTAATCTCCCTGAGAAAGAAAAACCCGTGGGGAATCTGATAGAGCACAAGGACTTTCTCTGCCCTTCTCCACCAGCACGTGGTCTTTCTGGTGAAGACCCCATGAGAACGATGCCCATGGAATGTCTAGGGCCCGTTACCTTTTGGCTTTTACCCTAACCTCTGACCCATTCATCTTTCCTGTGACCATCCTTTTCCCTGACAATCAACTGCCCCACCCCCAACCTAGTCAGCACTGCTGACATCTTTCTCTCCACGGGATGATCCAGTGCTGCCCCCACCTCTTTTCTCTGACATTGGGAATGACAAGAAGTCACCATTCTGCAAGGTGAGGCGGCAGGACCAAGCAGGGCTTGAAGGGGTGGGTGAGGAGGGCATGGAAGCTAAGGTGCTGAAGTCCATGTTCATTCCAGGGGAGTGTCTTTGGATCAGAGACCCTGAAGGATCTAGTCTGGAAATTCCTGACACAGTAAGAACTCCTTGGGCCTGAGGTGGCTTACACATTGGTGAGGGCAGGGGGGTCTGTTACATCTCTAAGGAGTCTTTGTTTCTGCTCAGGTATTACAGAATCTATGATGATGGGGACCGACAGGGCCTCCTGAGTGCTTACCATGACAATGCCTGCTTCTCACTGACTACTCTCTTCCACACTGAGGATCCATCCCGGTGAGTATCTCAGACCAGACGACAGCCCTGGACTTCTGACTGCCCAGCACATTCTGACCAGTCCCCACCTCCTATTCCTGCTTTCTGCCTAGAATCAGCTGCGGCAAGTCCTCCAAGGACAGCGGGGCTGTGAAAGAGTTCAAGGACATCGGTATGTGTGTCAGAGTGAAGATAGGATGGGGCGGGAGGAGTGAAAGGGTAAAACACAGGGACCCAGTGAGTGAGGCAGCCCTTGACCATCTCTTGACTTTGCCCACAGGCCTGTGTGTTCTGTTGGTGAAACGCACAAAAAGTGAGATTGTTGACTTCCTTAGTATGTTGCCCAAGACCCAGCATGACCTCAGCTCCTTCGTGGTGGACGTGGGTGCCCAGATGGTGAGCAGTGGCTTCTGGCCTGGTCCAGGGACAGAGGACACAGGTGGGTAGGACAGGGAATGGGTTCCTGGGAGCCTGAGCTGTTTTTCTCTTTCAGAGAACCACGCTCTGTTTTTCTGTCCGTGGGAAGTTCAAGGAGAGTGAGTGTCTGCCAAGTTTCTCCCCCTTGCTTCCCACTGTTCCCACACAGAGGTCTACAGGCTTCCCTACTCCCTTAACATTCCCTTTATACTGTCCAGCTCCAGCCTGCCCCTAGCCCAGTTCACTTTTGACTGACCCACAGCCATGACGGCTTTCCTGACTTAACACAGCCCAGGTGGTAGAGGCACAGGACATAGAGTGTGTTGGCTCTCATCATGTACCCTCACAATGGCCCCCTGGGGCTCCTGTTTAACCTCCTGGTCAACTCTTTTGCAAAATAAGGCTAGTAATATCCCTCTCTTGGGCTACTGTGAAAAATATGGCAAATGCACTTGTGAAGAGATTATCACAGGGCATGATGCAGAGTAGAGAACTTATCAACTGGAAGAGATCGGACATCTTGTTGTGCCTCCCACCCCCTCCCACCCAAATGCAGACACCATCCTGAACCCCCAGGGAGAACTGTCCCTTTGTGGCATCCTCAGGGTGCCATGAGATACAAACACCATTGCTGAGTGTGTGAAGCATGGGGACACTAACTGGCTGTGTTGTGCTTTGTCCTTGAAGCCGAGGGTCTGTGTGGCCCTCCTCTCTGTGCCTTCACGCGGACCTTCCTGTTGAGGACTGGCAGTGATGCCAGGTCAGTGCTGGGTTTTGGCTCCCAGAGGGAACACCCTTCCCACACAATGGCCAGAAGATGGGATGGTGACACGGGGTTCCTCAGGATTTCCCCCGGGTTGCAGAATCCAAAAAGATAGATCCCAGGAGCACACAGTGATAGTGGTTGAGAGTGTAGGCTGTGATATACTGGTTTCGCCCCCTGACTCCTGCTTTCACTAGCTCTGTGATATTGGACAAGTTACATGACTTCTCTGTGCCTCGGTGTCTGTATCAGAATATGAGGATTAGAATGACCAACCGGTTGGGCTGATGTGAAGGAAAAGGCAGGCATGGAACTCTCTCTGGGGTGGGGAAACCTATCCACCCAGTGATGGTGGCAGACAGTTCTCCAAAAGTAGAATCTATTTGAAGGGTAGCAGCCAGAGAGTCACGGAGGCAGGCAGAGGTGTGCATGGTCAGAAAGTGGCTGTCCAGTGTGGGCGTGTTGGTTGTTGGGGCTGTGGGGTTGTTCATGTGTCCAGCTGTCTGAGGCGCCTCCTTTTTGCAGCATATACATCGTTAATGACCAACTGACTGTGACTCATGTGAGTCCCAAAGAACCCCAGAGTTCCTGCTTCTCCCCAGTGCCCACACCCTCCTCCAGCTTTGAGCCCACCACGTCCCAGGAGCAGCAGGAAGTGCAGTAGGCCCTCTCTCCGGGTTCTGGTCTCAGAAGTGAGTGTGGGGTGGGGTGGGATGGGAGGAGCTGGAGAGTGAGTGAAAACCTCTCAGGTAATGCAGTTTGCTTCTTTATTTCCCTCATGGTCTCTCTGGACCTCGTGCCCACGCTGTGCCTATGAAGCCACCTAGTGGTTTACAGCAGGTGCTCAGGCCTCTTGAAGACCATGGACCCTGTGCCTTTGAGGACAGACACACGTGTCTAGGAGTTTCCCCCTTACCCACCATCGGCTGCTTTCTTCACAACAACTGTGCTTGGAGGCAGGTTTAAGATGAATAGATTAGTAAGGCATCTGTGTGCTCAGTGTTTCCAGGTCGGTCCTGGTGTGTGTAGCCTGTCCTTCCTCCACTCCAGGTACCTCCATGACAACCACTGGGATCACACCAGGCCTCACAGAGTTTTGCTGTGTCCACAGCCAAGCCTTGGACTATAGGCCCAGTGAGCAGAGACAAGGTGGCCTGGGGGTGACACTCAGGCGTCCTGGCTCTGAGGATGCCTGACTCCGCCCTTGCCCCCGCCCCCACAAACCTGTGATGGATGCATTTCTAAGGGACGCACAGCCCTTGCAAGGACAACTCCACAGTAGCCAAGCTTCTGACCACCTTCTTCATCCTTGTGATTCGCTCTCTGTTATGCCACCCAACTCTCTGTAGCTTTAAAATAAAGAGTGATGTTGTTTGTTGTGTGACGTCTACGCAGCGTCTGTTGGAGTCGTGCAGCATTACCACTGCCCCACCGCGTACCCCCTACAGGGGCTGATGCTGCACTGGAGCATGGAATCCTCCGAAGAACATACAATGAAACCTCCAAAGGACCGGGTTCTTGTCATCTTTGTCCTTATCCTGTCCCTGTTTCCCCTGGCTATTGTTTTATGTATTTGTTCTACGCTGTTTCACTGTCCGTTTTAAAGATAAACTGCGATGCTCTTTGTTATGTGAAATCCCTGCAGCGTCCATGTGAGGCATGCATGATCATCCCTGCCCAGTAGATTACATTCCATGTGGGTTGGCGCTGCACTCGAGCATTGAATTCTCTGAAGAACATCCGATGGGAAACTATGAGAGCAAATGGCTAGGATGGGGAATTCCGGGAAGGCTGCTCTCTGGGACTGCCTTGGACTTGATTCTCAAACAGCAAGAAGAAAGATAAGGAAGATAATATGGGCTGAGCAGTCTATGCAAATGAACAGCCAAGGCAGTGGTCTTTTTTTGAAACAGTTTTCTTGGCACGTAATCCACACACCCCGCCATTCAATTGTTCAACTGATTGTACAAGAAGACTTCTACAATCGTTAACACAATTATAGAACAATTTCTTTTTCTCTGTACTCATTCTTGAAATTTTATTTCAATTTTCACAAAAATATACGCAACAAAACATCCCCAGTTCAACAATTTCTACATCTCTTATTCAGTGCCATTGATTGTGCGCTTCCTGTTGTACAAGCATTACTATTATCCCTCTCCAAATTTTCTTTTTTTCTCTCTTTCTATGAACATTTATTTTTATAAAAATCATTTTATTAGGGGCTCATACAACTCTTATCACAATCCATACATACATCAATTGTGTACAGCACATGTGTACATTCATTCCCCTCATCATTTTCAAAACACTTACTCTCCACTTAAGCCCCTGGCATCAGCTCCTCATTTTTCCCCTCGCTCCCCACAACCCTCTCCCTCATGAACCTGGATAATTTATAAATTTTTTTTTTCACATCTTGCACTGTTGGACATCGCTCCTTCACCCACGTCCATCCCCCAGGGAGGAGGCTACATCTAGATGCTTGTAATCGGTTCCCCCTTTCCAACCCACCCTCCAAGTATCACCACTCACAACACTGGTCCTGAAGGGATCAACCGCCCTGCATTCCCTGTATTTCAAGTTCCCATCTGTACCAGCGTACGTCCTCTGCTCTAGCCAGATTTGTAAGTTAGAATTGGGATCATGATAGTGGGGGATGGGATGGGGTATGGGAGGGGAGGAAGCATTTAGGAACTAGAGGAAATTGGATATTTCATCAGTGCTACATTGCACCCCGACTGGCTCATCTCCTGCCCGCAAACTTTCTGTAAAGGGATGTCCAATTGCCTACAGATGGGCATTGGGTCTCCACTCCGCACTCCCCCCCCATTCACTATGATACGGTTTTTTGTTCTGATGAAGCCTGATACCTGATCCATTCGACACCTCGTGATCGCACAGGCTGGTGTGCTTCTTCCATGCGGCCTTTATTGCCTGTGAGCTAGATGGCCACTTGTTTGTCTTTGAGACTTTGAGACCCCAGACGCTTTATCTTTTGATAGCCGGGCACCATCAGCTTTCTTCACCACATTTGCTTTTGCACGCGCTTTGTCTTTGGCGATCGTGTCAGGAAGGTGAGCATCATAGAATGCCAGTGTAATAGAAAAAAGAATTCTTGCGTTGAGGGAGTGGAGGCATGGAATGGAGGCCCAATTTACATCTGGTGCCTTATTACTAAACCTATAAATATATGCACAAAAATCTATTTCCCTATCCTCATATATAAATATATT